ATGGATAACCCTATTTGGCTGGCTTGGAACTCCTACCCAGCATGGCATGATTATGAAACAAGTATAACCTGACATCGACACTGCACAGGAGAAAGGGGAGCATGAACAAGAAGAAGAACCACAGCTCCAGAGGAGGAATAAGCGAGAACCCTCAAGATATACTCCTAATACAGATGCTCTCAAGCCTAGAAAGCGGAGGTAGTAAAAATTCAAAAATACTTAATGATGTATTATGTTTAAACTTTTTTGTGTAACTATTTCAAATTATGTAATATATTCTTCATAATGGGTTCAATAATTTAATATATATTTTGGTTCTTTTAATTTCATATTTATAAAGGCCTATTTTAGAAAAAATTATGTTTTAAGATAAAATGCAAAATTTTTAATTTTATAATATGACATTTTGTAAATCTACCACCTTAGCTACATTACTCAACAAAGCACAAACTCGTTATGGATGCCTTCATAAGTGATCGAACCAAGGAAATGATTACTAGAGGAGTTAGTCGTTTGCGTGAAAGTTTATCTTTTCCGATTGATGAGATCCTCGAAGCCAAGGTAGCGTCAAATGAACTATTTAGATGTGTTTTGCATAGTTGGGGGGAAGACGATGATTACATACTGTGGCACGAGTATGATGACATGAAAAAAAATTAAGGCATATTGGGCTGTCTTTAAACTTCGAGACATGGGTTAGAGAAATGTACAAGAAAGATTTTGTAATCATTTCAATCACATTGTATCATTAGATTTTCTAAAGGGTCGAATTCTTGAACTTGGTCTTCATAATGATGGTACAGTTGAACCGAGGATAGGATGATTGATGTTTGACATAGACCATTATATTCTATACTATAACTGGTGTCATTATCATGATAAATTACTATTAAAGTATTATAAAATATTATTGCAATGTTCTGAACAAGGTAAATAAAAGGATTTTCTAAATGAAAAAGACTGGCAGCAGATACAGAAGAATTTATTATCAGTTTCAGATGTTGTCCCACACAAACTCAGCTCCAAGGTCGTATACGTTTCATACTGAACAATATATAATAATAAGAGTAATATTTTTTTTTGCTACATATTGTTATGTAGGATTTTGCTCGTGATGAATATGTCATTTTGTAATATTTTATTTTGTGTAATGACAATATCTAATTATTACTCAACTTCTATTTTCTTTTATGCCCTTATCTTTTTTTACTCAAGTTGCATTTCCTAAATACATCATATTTGTATTTATGCATGTCCTTTTTTGAAGAACTTAGTACTAATTCAAGTTAATATTCAACATATAATGTCATTATCAGCAAGGTCCTCATCAATAAAGCTCTCACCATCAAGGGATTTCCTTCATATAATCCCTATAAAGAAGTTGATCTATGATGGTACTGTTTGATTGACATAATCTATATCGTATCCTATGGATGAATTCCTGGAGGAGAAAACAAGATCAAATGAAATTTTTCGATGTTGTATACATGAATGGTCATGGTATGAAGATGACAATTTATGGGATACATATGATGAAGTAATCAAAACTTGTTATCCCATGTATGTGGATGGAGCAACCCTTACTGATATGGGTTGAAAATTTTTACATCAAAGGTTTAGGGATCATAATGATCATTTTTCTCCTATGAGTATTCTTAAGACAATAATTGATGAAATCGGACGGAAAGAAGATGGTTCTGTTGTGGTCAATATTGAGAATTCAATAACTGATGTGCAACATTGTATTCTTTATAAAAGATACATACTTTGCGAGATGCTTTTCTATCTGAAAAATATCGAGAGCTGAATATTATAGATGATAAAAAGGAGGAGTTTTGAATATAAAAGATTGGCAATATATCCAAAAGAAGTTCACAGAGGACTTCATATGAGGTCCAACTTTAAGCCAAATTCAAGCGCGTATGCGCATAGTCGTGACCCAGATGTAATAATAATATTTTTAGCTTTATTTCAATGCTTATCATATGTATTTCATATTATTACTAAACTTATCATGTATTTTCATGAACTTATGTGGGCACATTTTGGGAAGGAACACATTTCATGTAGTATTCACCATAAGGATCATGATAAAAAATTAATTTTAATATTTAAATTAATTTAATTTTGAAACAAATTATCATATTTTTAAATTATCCAAAAATAACAATTTTATTAAAAAATAATAACTTATTTTATTAAAATATTTTTACTTTAAATTTTTTATTTTATTTTACTTAAATAAAATATTGAAAATTTTTAGAGATATGAATTTATTTATTCATCTCCTTATGCGCGCTTCGTCAATATATTATTATAATATTATTTTAACATAACATTAGATAACATATATATTAAAAAATATTTTTGAAAGAATAATAATTATATTTTTTATAATAGAGTTATTATTATTTAAATTTTTTAATTTAAATTGTTATAATAACAATATAATTATATCAATTTTCATAATTATTTAATTAATATATCTCTTAGATATTATTATTATAAATAAAATTATATATATATTTAATTATTATTAAATGCGTAAAGAGTGTGGGAAGAAGGAGCATAGAGGTAGAGGTATCAAGAGTTTGTATATTTTAATTTTTAAATTAAATTATTTCATACAAATTTTTAAAACATTTCTTAATAGTTTTATAGTTATTTTTTAATTTAAAAATAAAATTATAACTTACTTAAATATATTCTTAAAACAATAATAAAAAATTTTATTTAAATATAAAATAAATTTTTTTGATTTAAAATATTAAAAACTTTAACGGCTAAAACTTAAAAAATATTTAATTAACAATTGATATATTTAATAAAATTTAATATTAACAAAATTAATAGATTACTCATATATATAATTATATAAAAATAATTAAATAGTAAACATATTTAAGTATTTTAACTTTAATATACTTTTTAGTATGTAATTGTAATATTAATAAGTATATTTTTTTAATAAACTATAGATTAAATTAATATCAATTAAACTATATTATTTTAAATATTTAAATTATGGATTAACAATTTAATTTCTAATTTGATATTATATTAAGTAATAATATAAATAAATATATAATGACATTTACAAATTATATTATTTTTATTAAATGACATTTGCTTTTCATATATTTACATTATTTATAATTATTACTTTTACTTAAAAAAGATATTTACTAATTTATATATATATATATATATATATATATATAATATATATATATATATATATATATATATATTAATGAATATTTATTTTATTTTAATTAAATTATTTATAACTATTAACTTTTTTACTTATACATTTTTTTAAATTAATGCATTTTTTTTTTATAAATATTTAAATTAGTTATATTATAACTTTTAGTTAATAACCTTTTATATGTTTTTGTAATTATATTTTTCTATATTAAATAAAATATTGTTTTTATATATTTAAGTTATTTGTAACGATGTAATTTTTTCTTAAATATAATTTTTTTTATATTACATGCCCTAAATATTTTATATTAAATGTTGCATTAATTATTTATGAAGAAAACGCAATGCAGGTTGACATTTTCTTAATGTATAGAAAACACAAAGCTTGATCATATTTTCTTCAGAAAATGCAATTCTCCTATGCGTTTTCTTCATAAAATGCCATACCTGTTTACTTGTATGATCCATTTTAAATTTTTATTTATTTGCTCCTACTCCTATTAATATTTTTGTCAAATCGGCTCCTAAAAATTTGGCCAATTCCCGCCCATGAGTCGGACTCCTTACCGCGCGTATGCGACTCATTTTTGCGTTCAGTCAGTTCAAAAAATCCGGCCACCGGCGCATGCGATCTATTTGCATTAAAATGCAGAAAATACCGGATAAGAAACAGTAACACCACCACCGGAAATACTGGCACGTGTCGGTTAAAGATAATATAAAAAAACTCTCCGATGGAAATAGCTGGATTATTTTTCAAGACCCAAGGAAACTTTAAACACGTAATCGTAGGCGTCTTTTTGAGCCTTTCAAATAGGGGTGTCAATATTTGACCCGACCCGAAAACCCGACCCGGACCCGACCCGGAAAATCCGGGTTGGACCCGACCCGTTTATCAAACGGGTCGGGTTCGGGTTCTCTAATTCGACCCGTTTGATAATCGGGTCGGGTTCGGGCAACCAGCAAACCCGTTTATTTAAAAAAATGAATTTTTTGCTGCCTGACCGCTACCCGCTCTGCCCTGCCCCCTGCCCGGCCGCTGCCCTGCCCCCTGCCCTGCCCCTCGTGCCCGTGCGCTCGCGAATCGGCTGCCGCGCGCGTGCCAAGAAAGCGGAGCCGCTGCCGCTTGCCGCTCGCGCTGCCGCCCGCGTGCCGAGAGCAGCTGCTGCCCGCTGTGCCGAGAGCGCTCGCCCGCGTGCCGGAGAGCAGCGTGACGCCCGCGCCTTTCCCCGCTGCCCCCCGCGTCGCCGCTCGCGCCGCGCCGTCGCCTGCTGCGCCCGCCGCCGGTCCGCGCCCCCACTGCTGGGTCGACGGTGTCAGTCGGGTCAACCCGCAACCGGCCAACCCGGCAACCCGCCGCCGGGTCGGGTCCGGGTTGAAATGCTCGACCCGTTTTGCAAACGGGTCGGGTTCGAGTTGACCCGTTTAGATCCGTGTCGGATCGGATTCGACCCGAACCCGACGGGTTGACCCGAATTGACACCCTACTTTCAACATACCAGCCCTAAGCTTCATAGGCATAATTACTAATTTACGCCCATAATGCTTAAAGATATCAACTATCATGGACTTCTCGGACTCTGCGCTGTCCGGTTTTTCGTAATTTTACTCACTATTTTGCTGGAACCTAGGCACAGTTCCGGTTATTTCTTTTTTAGTTCGAGCGAATCTCACTCAGTAGGGCATTTGGACGGTTCTGATTTCGTTGAAGCGTACGACAAAAAGCTGGACATGAATGTAATTACTATCACACTTCTCCATAAAACCACCTCTACCTGCTGCTCATAGCCTTCTTTTCATGTTCACTAAATTCTTCTTATTGACTCTCTCCTAGGGTTTTTATCTTTTAGCTTTGCTCGTCGGTGTCTTTTTAGGTTTTCTCTTTTTCAACTTTATGGCAAACGAAGGCGCGGCAAACACGGAGCACATCAATGGAGATAGCGGCAAGGCAGTGAGCTTAGCGTCTTTCAAGGCACAGCTGGTGCTGCCTGAGTCGAAGGCGAATGAAGCGGTGAAGTTCTATAAGGCGGCTTTTGGCGCAGAGGAACTTGTTCGCGTGAATCATTCCAAGCGCAAGGCCGAGCAGGACGTACCGCTTATCATCTTTGCTGAGCTCAAGATCAGCAACAACTCCTTTCTAGTCTCCGACCAGACCGATGACTTCGTCAAGTAATCCCTTTATCCTCTAATTTCTCTAGGGTTTTTTTTTTCCGTTGATCTACGAGTTTTAGGTTCACATTTTGAACTGTTTTTTTTCTCACTTATGTTCAAGAGTAAAAAAATATGAACGAGACCATAGAACATGACTCGAGATCTTTTTGCTATTCTAATTGATTGAAATTGCAGTGCGCTTGATGGTGGTGGCTGCGGTATCGTTTTTCGGCTTGAAACAGAAGATGTTGCTGGTTTGGTGGCGAAGGCAGTGGAGGCAGGTGCGGTTGCTGATGGCGAGATCACTGAGATGGATGATGCTTACGGCGGTGGCCTTCTCGGCAAGCTGAAGGATCCCTTTGGTATCTTGTGGTTCGTTGCCTCGGCGACGAAGAAGTCTTGCGAGGCAGAGTCTTAAACAATTTAGTCGCTGGGTATCTTGGTTTCCCTGTACCGCAGCTAGTTATCTTTCTTTTTGACTATAATGGACCACTGTAGTACCGCGAGTAGGAGTTGATTATGCCGATCGATGAACGGACCTGATCTTCTTATGTTCACTTGTAGGCTCATGCAATCCACTGCAGCTATTTTCTGTTCTCTAATCCTTACCAAAACAGTATGCAATTTTTTTGACTGGTTGGTTTATATTGATGGTTTCTCCTCATAGTGTTTCTGTTTTGGATGTGTTATTTGTTCTGCTTCATCTTGCCGATCAAGAGGATGCTCTCTCATGCCCATGTCAAATACTTTGTTAAGTTTTCATTATTATTTCTATGCTGTTTTTCAAATTTGGGACATTTTTGTGCTGGTGAACAACCCGCATAGTTGTGATAGATTTGTAAGAACGTTTTGTTTTTTTTTTGGGAAATTAGGGATTCGAGCCCGTGTGTGCATGATGGGAGGAATTTCTTCCATCCGTGGACGCGATCTCATTTGTAAGAACATTTGATTCGAAGGTTTCTAACTGAGTTTCTCTCTTGCCAGAACTGCTGATAAGTCACTACCCTTGGATCAGAAAGGGAAAAATATGAATCCAGATTTAGTAAACCCTGGGGGTGTTAAATTCTAAAAATTATTTGATATGATTTTTGTTAAATCCTATAAATTCTAGGAAATTGTTTGCAATTTAAATATATTTTGATTTTAATTTGTGTGTTAATTATCAATTACTTATTAGTTTTAATTTTAATTATCTTTAATAGATTGTAATTATAAAAATATAACTAGGTGTTATTTTAATTATTATACATTAACAAATTATTTATTTAGATGTTAATTATTAAATAATTTCTTGTATTATTCATTATTTAATTATATATTTGAAACCTAATTAATTAGGTAATTATTGTTTAATGTAGAAATGATTAAACTAATACTTAAATTAATGATTTGATTACTTTTTTAATTATTATTTAATTAGTTTTAATTATTTATTTTATTGTTAATTATCTTATTGATAATTTAAATATTCAATTATCATTTAATTATTTTAATTTTAAATTATATATATATAATAAACTAATTAAATGATAAATTTTTACAACTAATCTATTAGTTAACTTAAATTAGATTACTTAATTAATAATACTTAAATGACCAATTAATTTTTAATGAAATGTGTAGGGTTTGCTTTTCATCTTTATCTTATGTTGCTTAATTGTTGTTGTTTTTCTTTGCCATTTATCATGAATGCTTCAACTTTGTGTGCTATGCTTGTTTTGCATGATGGGAGCTCGCTCGTTGCTTCACCTCCTAATTGCTCAGATCAAAAGTCACAATAGGAGTTCACTTGTTGCGTAGATAACCTTCACCTTCTCCTAATTTCACGATGGGAGCTAGTGAGCCCGTAAATCTTGTTGTTTGTAAATTCTTAAATCCGTCAAATTGAGGGATTTACTAAATCTCAGATTTATGCATTAAGTCTGTAAATTCGGGATTTATTGTGGACTGGGATTTATGGAGCGCTAAAAAACCATTTCGTAGGATTTACCCTAAATCTGGCATATATTCAAGCATAAATCCGATACCAAATAATCCCAAAGTTTTATTTGTGATAGTTTTTTTTTATTATTTTTAAAACAGTTAAAAAATTAGTTTAACATTTTTTATACTAATAAGTTAAAATCATCAAAAAAGTTGTCCTAAAGGAAGCCTTAGGCTTATGCATATTGGAATGCTGAACTGAAAATTATAATCACTTGTTTGTTGGTGTCTTTTTGCTGAACTTTTATTACGTCCTCTGACCAGATGTAGCTCTACGTTCGGTCAAAGGATTGTTACTCTGTTTTTGTTAAGTATTTGGTCGGTATTGCTTGGTATTGTTTGGTAATAACGAGAAATACTGCTTTGTGAAGACCAATACCGAGTAATCCCAAAAAATATCGAGTTTTTCTAGAAAAAACTCGATATTTTTTGGGATTACTCGGTATTGCTCGGTATTACTCGGTATTATAAGAGCTAAAGATATGGGCCCTAACTCATGCTAAGGTTATAAAGAATTTAGGGGCAAGTGGCGCATCCTCAATCATACACTTAGCCAAGTCTGAAAAAGTTATAAGGTGGCAGGGGACGTATAGTCTTTTCTTGATAATCTAAGACTTGAGGTAAGGCTGAAAGGTGACGTTCTAAGTGGTTCTATCATCCACAATAAATAAAGATCACTATATTTTAGAGATTAACATGAAAATAGAAAGACTCACTACCTATAGATATGTATAGGTTCTACTTGACCTAAGGCTAAACACTTAGTGGTTAAAAAAATTGGCTTAGGTTCCTAAGGATGTATTTAAATTTTAAAAGAGGCAATTTATGTATATATTTAGACATTTATCCCTTAAAACATAAGGTATGTGGTGTTGCAACAATGGGTATGAGGATTAAGGCCTCCTTAGGACACAGAGCCCCACAGCTCGAAGTATTCCAGCCTATATACCTTATATATATCAAGGGAGAACATACAAAGATAAAAATAAACCCAACATAGGTTTAAGGCACTAATGTGTGACTTGAAATCCATTTACTCCTTTAACAAGTTTATTTATCTATTTAAAATTAATGTATTTTAGTTCTAATTTAGGTTTTAGTATATTAATGTCTTTTTATTAAACATTAAAAACTTTATGGGATGATTTTTTTTTTAGTTTTGATTTAATTTCACTTTAGGTAAGGTATAATATGATGTATGATTAAGTTAGGAGTTGAAAATGATGTGTTTTATGTATTTATGGATTTTATTTTGATTAGTTAAAAAAAAAATCTATAGAGTTGTAGGTTGAATAGAGAGTTTTAGATGTGGTGGATCGGTTAAGGGATTTTAGTAGTTTTATAAATTTTGTATGGATTCATTTTCATATTTGTCATGTTTTATTAGTTATTTTTAGTTCTTAGAGTTTAAAATTTGACACGCATTTCTTATATTTTTCAAATTGATTGTAGTATAACTTATAAAATTTAGTTTGTTGATGATTTATTACTGATTATTTAGGTTATGTGATGATTACCCTTATTAAATAAGGGCCATCAGGCTTATTTCATCCTCATTGGGGCTAACTTAATAGCATCATAGGCTCGAGTTACCAGGTAACCACCTCGTTATTATTAAGTTGGAACTTATGTTTGATGCTCAGTAATCTTTAGTGAAGGTTATCCTTGTGATTAATGTATTATAATTTTTTTTTAAATCAGTTACAAGTTCATTATATTTGTTCCATTAGTTAGTTTTATAGTTTTTTAAAGGTTTTTTATATTATTATTTTTTTAGCAAACAAACTTCAACATAAAGGTGTTATTCTAAGTCAAATATGACAAAAACTAAATATATTATTTACAAGTAAATCCAACATACAATGTTAGCTTATAGATCTACCTTAACATGCTAAAGCTCATATTTTATTTCATTTTTATATATTTTTTGTATACTTATGAAAGATATATTTAGAGGCTCAAAAAATCATTAAGAAGCAAATTTTTGAGTTATTTACATATTTCAAAATCTCAAAGAAAATCTTCCTAACGGTGCCCACTTCATGTAGTCAAAGCGATGCATATACACAAATAGGTGGCCTAAAATACAAGCCTAAAATGACCGTAAGGGTTTCTAAGTTTCATAGAAAAGGGGTAAGGTTTGGCCAATAAGGCCAAAGTTTCGTCAGTGCACTAACCTATGCCGGCTTACAAACATCCTACCATATATTCGAGTGGGGAAAATAAATAATAGTTCGGTGTGTGCGGGTGTAGCCATTCAAAAATACAATGAAAAGTCTCTACATGACTATCAAGTTGTACCTAATAGTGGTGTGTCCACTCGAGAGATCCCAAGCAAATGACTCTTTAACTCATACATGCAATACTCAATGTACCTCACAGGACAAAGTAAAAATAGCAATATATGGATGAGCATAGATGTAATTCAAAAAAGAAATGTAACTATTCAATAATTAACTCCAAGCAATCGAGGTTTGTAACTTTACATTCCATGTAAAGCATATGGGAAGAAATGCAGAAGTAGTAAAGATGAGTTAATATAATCACATACATAACCATGTGTGCATTTAGTTTAATATGTATGTAAAAGCTTATTAACATGAATGACAAAGATTAACAATGAAGTAAATTACACATGAAATATATAAAGAAAATTATTGCCATAAAGCACAGAATAAGGCAACACATGGATCATGCAGGAATTTGCTAACATAATAACTAATCTAATAATAATCAAAACTGCACATATATACATGAGAATCTTCTTTCAAATGTCACTAAATATAATAATACATAACGATACAAATACACATGTAGACTTTCCAACAAAACTAATAAATATCATTTGGTGCCAAAAGAAAAATGATATTGGAATATAAACATGAATACAATCATCTACACGACGATGAAGGAATAGTTAAAAGTGCACATTCACATATAAAAAATTTCTTTATCTATTAATGATTCTTGAAATGCAAATAAACTACAAATGTGACACTTTATGAACATTTATATACACATAATAGAAAGAATGTAACTACTCAACTACAATGAACATGGGAACTCTAAATTTCATATCATGTTTGAAATTATTGAATTTGACAAAATGAGGTTTCATTTTTATAAAATCTACATATACATGTGTATGATGAGTTTCAATTTCCTATAAAATTACTCACATATAGATAAGCTCCTTCCCATCATAAATCAAAATATACATAAATGAGATCTAATTTCTTGCATATAAAGATAAATACACACATCAATCATATCAAACAATTTCACTTATTTTTCCTAAAATCTTCCATTTCAAAAATTCACATAAAGATTTATATAAGTAAGGTGAATTAACTTAGATGATGGTTATACATATAAAACACATGAGAGTTTACTAATGTAAAATTCATATTTATTCATGAAATAGGTGGGGGCGTACTAGCATAGGTGAAACTCGAATTTAATGTGGAATTTATTCTTATGATGGGATTAAATTCACATATAATTTGGAACATGGGGGTATATACATCAAAATCATCAAGACATATTTAATTGTTAAGGCATGAATATTCTATGTAAGCTCTTTACTCTAACCAAACTTATAAAATTCTTCAAAATATGAATTAGAAGAAATATAATTTAAAGTGCTTCAAACACATAAGTCAATACTAGAAATATTTATTTTA